GAACGAAATTTTAAACAGTGGATTTAATTTTGAATTTATTTCGTTAAACAATTTTTAAAAAAAAGTTAAAAGAATATTTACTTAAGTTTAAAACATAAATTTTTTGTTTTTGAAATTACGTTTAAATTCTGTTGAAAACTTATAACATTTTAAAAATTATGTCAAGGTGGTCACACTCGATGAGTTTCTGAAAAGAACTCTACTGTGGTCATCCTGTCTTCTTCTTATTGATATAAAGGGGAGAGAATTTTTTTTTCTCTTTTTTTAGATTAATTTTGAGAAGCAAATAAAAATTCGTTTCGTTTCGTATGTATGTATGTATGTATGTATGTATGTATGTATGTATGTATGTATGTATGTATGTATGTATGTATGTATGTATGTATGTATGTATGTATGTATGTTTTTCTTGCCGAGAAGATGCTTGAATATGCTATACAATGCCTTGTATATGCCTCAGGTAACTTACTGTAATGTAGTGTGGTCAGGTGCATACCCCTCAGTCACCAGCTCAGTCAAAAAACTCATGAAAAGAGCAATTAGAGTCATCACCTTATCAACTAAATGTGAACATGCGCAATCCTTATTTAGATTAACAAACAATTTAAGTTTTGATCAAACATGCACATTTTGCACAATGATATTTGTATACAAGCAAGTTTCAAACCAGCTGCCATCAATTTTCGGAAACTACTTTGAACCTAGCAACAACGTGAGAAGACAGAAGTTTCTTCTTTCTTCTAAATCAAAGACGCATATTCTATTCAGTCACATCATAACCAGAGGTCCAAGAACATGGAATATGATGCTAAAAAAGGGCTTGCCAAATGAATCGCAACAACTATCTCAATTTTAAAAAAATTTGAAAAGCTTTATTATTAATAATACTATATAAAGTTGCTTTTATTCTAAAGTAGGCATATATGTGTGTCTGCGTGAGTGTATATGTACGTACATGGATAAAATTTATTTTGTTAATATTTGATTTATATATATTTGTTTATGTATGTATATATGGGTATGTAATGTATGTATATATATGTATTGTAAACTCAATTGACATTAAATTTTGTAACCAAATTGAATTATAAACTTATAAATTCAAACTAACATTAAATGATTATTTAATGTAACATTGTTCTGTTGATCTCGATGATTTATATATGAGTATGTGTATGCGTATATGTATGTGTATGTATATATATATATATGTATGTACGTGTATATATATTTACAGAATATGACTTTAATTAAGCTAACTGAAAACATTTTTTCTAATTTTCTTACATCTGTTTTATTTGTGATAAGGTGGCTGTGCAAGATGAGCTCATCATGAGCTCGATCACAATCATCCTGCCTTCTTAATTATTATTTTTGGGAAGCAAATAAAAGATCGTTTCGTTTCGTTTCGTTTCGTATGTATGTATGTATGTATGTATGTATGTATGTATGTATGTATGTATGTATGTATGTATGTATGTATGTATGTATGTATGTATGTATGTATGTATGTATGTATGTATGTATGTATGTATGTATGTATGTATGTATGTATGTATGTATGTATGTATGTATGTATGTATGTATGT